TTATCTCTCTATCTGTTTTTATATATATGTGTGTGTGTGTGTTAATGGTTTCAAAAAATATATAGATGTGAAAGCTTTGTCAACATACAAGCGCTGCAGCTGTTCCAGTGAACATCATGTGTGTTTTTGAAGGTTTTTCTACGTTTTCCACAGCACGAGACCCAGGAAGGCAGACAGAGCACGAGGAGCAAGCACTGGAGATTTTTTGTATTAACGAAAACAAAAAAACTGATGCAGCAGCAAATGCAAACAAAATAACTCGAGGAGACCACCGAGGGGAACCGGACATGGCGTAAACACACACAATACACGACTGCAGGTGAGGTGGAGGCAGAGTGAATACATGGACAGGGACTGATGAGGTGAGTGAAGACACCTGGACAAAATGATGGGTCAGTGGATGGAGCAGAAACAAACTGAGGAACATTGGGCTCATGTCACAGAGGAAACCTAAGATACAACAAAACGCACACAAACACTGTAAATTCATAAATCAAAAAATCACAAATGCCTAAAATAACCAAAAAGATGCAAATAATGATAATTGGAGGACGTTTGTGTTTCTGAAAGAGATGAACAGAGTTCCTGTTTTAGACAAGTCCAGGATCTGGGCCTCAGTGAAAACTTGTTAGTATAGAAACTTTATACGTATTTTGTAAGACAAACTTCTTGTTTTGTTTCTTCAGATCTGCTGAGCGCTGCTGTTTTCTGACAGCACAAAGCAGAAGCTCAAACATTTGGAGTCTGTGTTTCAGTGAAAGTTTTTCTACAGAAATATCTGAATACCACTTTCAGCACTTTATTTTTTTTTGTTTGTCAGTGGTGAAACAGAAGTTCAAGGAAGTCGTTATTACATTTATCATCATTTACCAAACAGTTACTGCCTCTCTGAATAGGTTCAGCCGATAAAAGAAATGGATTCAGATTAGTTCTGATGTTGCTGAATCAGAGAGAAGTTTTGCAGATTTCTAAAGTTTGAAACACAAAGAATGAAACCAAATTGTAAAGTTTGACTTCAAATAATTGATTTTAGGTGGAGTTTAGGAGCAACGTGACTCTACAGAACGAAGTCACAAATATTCACTGAGGTTTAAATCAAATGTCATCCCAGATTAGAGGAAATGTTGCTGCGCTCTGCAAACACAGAGGGGATTGTTTTAAAGTGCTTTACTGAATATTGGAAGTTTCTAAGCTGCTTCCTTCTTTAGGAATCACCACAGCGAGTAACTCACACGAAAGATTTAGCTGTTTGTTTTACGCTGGATCCTGACGCAACCTGGGCTCGAACCCACAACCTCAGGGTTACAAGACCGCGGCACTGAAGCTACTGCAGCCCCCCAAGCGTGTAACTTAGTATAATGTATAAAAATACATCTGAAGAAAAGTTGCTTACTCTTTTTGTGACAGTTAAATTAGGTTTTTAGTTCAAAACACTGAAAATAAATTATACAAATCTAAAAGGTTCTTATAAATTTATTTTCATGCAGTTATGGTGTACCTAAAACAAAATGTCTACAATCTTAAAATAAATATGCTGTAAATCAAAATGATTGAATCATAATGAAAGTTGAACTAGTTTAGAGTTTTTTTCTTGGATTTGAAAGTCTTAAATTGTGCAACAGTTTGGTCTTAAAGAAAAAAGGAAGTTGTTGTGAAACAGTTTTGGTGAAACTCCCATAGTTTTACTTGTGTGTAAAATATTAATTTAAAAAGTGTTTTATGCAATAATTAGAAAAAAGGTTGTTTAATGGTCTGTAACAAATCTTGTATTTATATTTCCTATGGGAATATATTATCAGAGGGTTCACTTCAGACAAAACCTCCACAAAAACAGAAAAAAAGGAAACATTATTTTTATTATTCATTGCTGAACAATGTCTTATAAACTTTATTTTCTGTATTCAAGTTCTTCAAGCTGAATGGAAAATGACTTGCGTCACAAAACTGACAACTTTTAATGAATTGTGGGAACGTTTTTATAAAAAAATAAAATAAAAAAAACATCATGTCAAACGTTTGTAAGATTGCTTTACTTAAATGATGAATATTAGCCTGCAATTAAAATCTGTGAATAGCAAGAATTGATTCATCAAAGCTCCTTCAATTAATTTTGGATCTCTCTAAATATATTCTTATTTATTTATTTATTTATTTATTATATTTCAGTAACTTTTGCTTTAGACAAAAACAGTTTTGATTAAATCATTTTAACATTAATGTTAACTTTTCTGTACTTAAAAAATGTTTTTTTTTTTTTTTTTTTTAGCAAAAATTGTGTCGTTAAGAATTGTTAAATTTCAAAAGCAAATACAGTATTGGCTGTTGCTAAATGATGTTTTTATGTTAATATAGTTTAAGTTGATTTTATTATTTTACAAACATCAGTTTTTTCTTTACAACTTTATTGAACCAACAAACAAAAAAAGCAGAAGAACTTCAGTATGGAGGATGTGATAAAATTAAATAAAAAAAAAAATAATAATAATTAAATATAGGCCCTATCATTTAATTATTAAACACATCATTAAATCAAGTGGATAACAATCAGCTCATTTAAGATGAACCATCTCCAGACATTGTATGAAAAACTAAATATAACAGTCTAAAATTTTAAACGAATCACATTTTGGATTTCGACTAAAACAATAAATTATTTGTTTACTCCCGTCTCGACCTTTGTTCTTGCGTAAAGTTCTAGTTGGGAGTTTTGTTTTGAAAGGTGCCCACCGGATGTGAAGTGCGTGCGCGCTCGTGTCATGATGCTGTGAGCGCGCGAGCCTCCAGCTCCAGGAACATCCTCTCTGCTCTCCTCCGACACCTCTCTCCGCCTCCCCGGCTCTCCTCAGCTCCTCCAGCCGCAGAGGGGCCGCTCTGAGCGGGCAGCAAGTCGAAGCACGTCCCGCTGGAAGAAGCCATGCTCCGCTGACCCGCGAGAGAAGCGCAAACTCTGAGGGAAAAATGGATCCTTCTCCGTCCTCCCTCCTCCTCCTCCTCATCATCATCTCGTCCCTCAGCTGCTTCCCCGCGTCTGCCGACAGGAGCTTCGGTGAGTACAGGAGCAGATATGATCATTAATGACAACCAGAGGAGTTGTTGTCCTCTCAGAGACATTTTTCTCCAAATAACCCGAGACGGATGGAAGCAGCTGCTGCTCCTCACCTGAGAGCAGGAAAACAAACACGGCCATCCTGGATCCTGCCCTCGTTTCACAGCAACTCACTCAAATCTACAAGATGAAGAGCAATAAAACCAGTCAGAGCATCTTAAATATACCACAGCTTGAGAGAATAAACAAACAAACAAACCGAGGAAATGAGGCTTTTTACATCCAACAGGCCCAGATCAGGACTGTGGCTTGAACATCGTCTTATAAAATACTGAAGTTAATGTAGGACAGAGAGTATAAGGAAACTAAAACTGTTATTTCTATATTTTAAAAGTTATATCAAAATATTAGTTCTAAAATGTTATTAAGCAAAATCAAATCTATTCAGCCTAATTATTGCAAATCAAAATAAAATGTGAAAGTAACACAGTGACAGACAGCCAAAATTAAAGCTTACAAAATACGGTACTGTACACATATATTTTCTAATACATTTTACAGCTCGGTACTTACCTGGTTTGTACCTGATGCTATGTATGGTACTTACCCGGTATTTATCTGGGTCATACTGGGGAATTAATTGGCATGTACCCATTAAGTACAAGGCTATGGCTGGCTATGTATTGGGCATGCACAGGTACCTGTATGTATTGAGTACTTACCAGGTATTTACCAGATACATACCAGGTTCATACCTGATGATACGTAAATCGTATGCTCATGGTACTTACCCGGTATTTATCTGGGGCATACTGGGTAATAAATTGGCATGTACCCATTAAGTACAAAGCTATGGCTGGCTATGTACCAGTCTCTTATTGGGTATGCACAGGTGCCTGTATGTATTCAGTACTTACCAGGTATTTACCAGATACATACCAGGTTCATATGTACTAAGCAGGTATGCACTAGTGTCTTATTGGTATGTATCTGGTACTTACAGGGTACATACCCAGTTTGAAACTAGTGTTTTCCTGGTAATGTATCCGTTTACCATTAGGTACAAAACTAGTATTTACCAGGTACTTAAGGGTGTAAACCTGGTCAGTACAAGTACAAGGTAGGTGCCAGGTTTTTACTAGGTACTTGCCCAGTGCACATCTGGGACTTACTGGGTGTATACCAGACCCTTACACTCTATTTACACTTGGTATTTATAGGGTGTTTGTTTTGACAAGGTGCTGAGAGAGGAGGTGTGATATTGTATGAGGAAATCTGGAGTGGCAGAGGAGCATGTTAGACTGGTACAGGACATGTACGAGGACAGCAGGACATGTTAGACTGGTACAGGACATGTATGAGGACA